CCTCAAATGGTAAATGGTTTTGTCTCAACCCAATAACTGCTTCATCCTTGGATAAGTTATTCTGTGAACTACAACAACCTTACCTCATACTGGCATTAATCACCAAAGTGAAAAAAATGAAAACCGAATGACAATCTAATACATCAAAGAAGCTGTTTGGTAGCAGAGCAATATAATAAAATGTTTATGCCTTTTTGGTTTAATACCATTGTTGTGAAAATAACGCCATCTGGAGATTACGTTGTTTTCCCAGGAGTTAATGCCCCTTCATCGGACACAGTACAAAACATGGCATGGGAAGTTGTTTATCATGGTCTACATGAGAGTTTGTATTTTGGGGGGTTTTTTCTAGATGTGCAAAGAGATGAGACCTCAAAAAAAACTTGTAGGTAAAATATCAAACTGTATGTAACATTTAATAAATTAATAACAGAGATAACAAATGTAATCATATTGGAAAAATGTAACAAGAAACCTTAGCTATACATCTCTTTCGATAAGGAGTCCCACCTGTTTCTATGGCTTGACTGATATTAAACCAGGCACGCATGTTTTGCAGCCCTGGAGAGAAACTACTCATTCTAAGTGTTTGGCTGTAGTAAATACAGGAGTAATTGGTAGTATTGACCAATTGTAACTCTTAGTATTAAGGAAGACAGCACACATTCATAACATCAGCTACAAAGAGACCACAGGCAATAATTCTGACTAATCCTTTGCCCACTGCCTTCCATTTGTTTTGTTTTTTTGGGGGGGGCAGAGCATTTCAGTTTCCTCTTTAAAGCAATGTGCAGTTTACAAAGTCTCCAGTTCTCTGCATACCTGTTTATCTTACAGTTCAGTACAGAGGCAGAGTACACACCTCACTGGGTTCCACCCCTATAACCCCACCCCACTCCTTGAGTCCTTTGTTTTTGTGGTAGTGTCTGAAGGTGATGGACCTTTTCTCCTTCATGCAGAAAACCACCCTTAGCTTAACTAGTTTTATTCTTTTTTTATTTCTCTAATGTCTTCTAATGGCAGCATATCAGGATCGTAAAACCTTGGAAGGTGACCCAGACCCCATGCTGTAGAGATGGCATTTTAACATGGTTTCAGCTACTGGATCCTGCATGGGCACTCATCATGGCACGTGGTGCAACATGTAATGTTAAACACCAGGATGTTATACAGGTCTAGGGGCAGTGGTCCATTGCTATGGAACTCCAGTCCCTGAAGACCACTTCAGAATTCTCATACTCCCGATTTTCAACCTGAGTTGGATCCTGTTTTTGCTGATCCTAGGCGATGCAGACACAGAAGGGAATTAAGAGAATATTGAGGGCAGTATTGGAGGAATTTATGAAAATGATTTCTCTCCCAGATTTGTCTATATTGAAGAAGGAGCTTCGAACAACAAACTCTGAGATGTTCATTGCCTCTGTCTACAAAAGCCTTGACATTTTTTTCAACCTCTCCTCTCCTACCATCTCACGATGCCTTTTTTGGGTTCAAGGAGATTGCAAAACATTCACTTCTTCGGGAACAGATAGAATGTGCAGTCTATGAAAACTAGGTCACTCCTGAAAGAATTTTTACTCTCCCCCCAAATCTTTACTGAACTAAGAAGTGGGCCATTCCTGTAGTTGATCATGCAATCTTGGTCTTAAAAAACATATCACTTTTCTATAGGTGTTCCTTCTTTCAGAGATTCTGCAGATAGAAAGTTTGTGACACTCCTAAAGGCTCTTTTATCTTGCAGGTCCCGCCCTGCAACCAGCTCTTGCTGTAATTTCACTATGTCAATCTGCACCTTACTAGACTATGAAAATGAACAGCCAACATGACCCTATATTTCAGTATCATGCTGTTACCTAGCAATTGCAGCATATAGCCTTTGGCTCTGCTTTTCTGTGTAGATGCCCTAGCAACAGGGGGGTCTCCAAACTTTTGGAGACAGGCTTCAATTTCAAAATCTTTCGTTCACCGTAAGGCTTGGCCCACCAAGGCTACCAAGGCTTCTCCAAAACATTCTTCACAAATAAGGACACCTCATCCCTAAGAATCTGTTTACTGTTTTCCCTCTTTCTAGATCACATACAGTTTGCAAGAAAAAGTATGTGAAGCCCTTGGGATTACGTGGAGTTTTGCATGAATTGGGCATAAAATGTGCTCTAAGCGTCATCTAAGTTACAACAATATCAGAACTACAGTCTGCTGAACATAATACTACACAAACATTAAGATGTTGCCATGGTTTAATTGCACATAACATGTAAACATTCACAGTGCAGGGAGGAAAAAGTATGTGAGGCCCTAGCTTAATGACTTCTCCCAGAGCTAATTGGAGCCAGGAGTGAGCCAACCTTGACTCCAATCAGTGTGATGATATTGGATGTGTTGCTGACAGCTGTCCTGCCCTTAAAAAACACACACCTGTTTTGGGTTTTCTGGTTTCAAGAAGCACTGTCTGATGTGAACTATGTCTCGCAGAAAAGGGCTCTCAGAAGACCCTACGATCAAGAATTGTTGACTTGCATGAAGCTGGAAAGGGTTACAAAAGTATCTCCAAAAGCCTTGATGTTCATGTGTCCATGGTAAGACAGACTGTCTACAAATGGAGAAAGTTTAGCACTGTTGCTACTCTCCCAGGCAATGGTCGTCCTGTAAAAATGACTGCAAGAACACAGCGCAGAATGCTGCATAAGGTAAAGAAGAATCCCAGAGTGTCAGCTAAAGACCTACAGAAATCTCTGGAACATGCTAACATTTTTGTTGACACATCTACAATAAGGAAAACATTAAACAAGAATGGAGTACATGGGAGGACACCACGGAGGAAGCCATTGCTGTCCAAAAAGAATATTGCAGCATAGTTTGAAGTTTGCAAAAGAGCACCTGGATGTTCCACAGCACTACTGGCAAAATATACTGTGGACAGATGAAACCAAGATTGAGTTGTTTGGGAAGAACACACAACACTATGTGTGGAGAAAAAAAGGCACAGCACACCAACATCAAAACCTCATCCCCACTGTAAAACATGGCGGAGAGAGCATCATGGTTTGGGGCTGCTTTGCTGCCTCAGGGCCTGGACGGATTGTTGTCAATGATGGGTAAAATGAATTCCAGAGTTTATCAAGACATTTCGCAGGAAAACGTACGACCATTTGTCCGCCAACTGAAGCTCCGCAGAGGATGGGTGATGCAACAAGGCAATGACCCCAAAGCATACAAGTAATTCAACAAAACAATGGCTGCAACAGCACAGAATACGCCTTCTGGAGTGGCCCAGTCAGAGTCCTGACCTCAACCCGATTGAAATGCTGTGGCTGTCAAGAGGCATGACCAGACATCCCAAGAATATTGCTACACTGAAACAGTTTTGTGAAGAGGAGTGGTCAGTCCAAAATTACTCCAGATCGTTGTGCAGGTCTGATCTGCGACTACAGGAAACGTTTGGTTCAGGTTATTGCTGCCAAAGGAGGGTCAACCAGTTATTAAGTCCAAAGGTTTCACATACTTTTTCCTCTGCACTGTGAATGTTTACATGTTATGTGCAATTAAACCAGGCAACATCTAATTTTTTTTGTAGTATTATGTTCAGTTCAGCAGACTGTGTTTCTTCTATTGTTGTGACTTAGATGATTGTTCAGAGCACATTTTATGCCTAATTCATGCAAAACTCCACGTAATCCCAAGGGGTTCACATACTTTTTCTTGCAATTGTATGTCCCAGGACCTATGGGTTTAATTGGTGGTTTCAAAAGTGTTTTTAATTGGTGGTCTCAAAGGGGTACAAAATAGAGTGCAAAGCTCTACCACCCCCACTGTTTTCTTCTTTCAAATCAACTAAAACTGCTCAAGGACAGCTGTATTGTCGCAGCTAGCACACGATCAGGGACAGGGTAAAATATCCATTATGTTAACAGTGCTCAAGCATCACCACAAGTAGAAAGGATTTTACTCAAACCCTTTTCAAGGTACCAAAACCCACTATTCATCCTATTCTGGATTTAAGAACCCTCAACAAATTCCTTCAAATTCCTTCAAATTGCCTGTCTCAGCCAAAAGGAATACATGGCATTTATGGACATCCTAGATGCCTATCTCCATGTTCCCATTCTACTCACCACCTCAGCACTTTCTGCATTTTGTATAGGCAACAATCACTTCCAGTTTTTGTTTCATTGCCCTTTGATTCTATTCTCTGCTCCCAGAGTGTTTCACAAAGGTCTTAGAACCATTCTGCCTACCCTTCTCAGAACTCAGGGCATCCAAGTAAAATGCTATCTAGACAACCTTCTCCTAAAGGACTCTGTCAGGAATGGACTGGCCAGCAATGGTGGGACTCGCCTGCCTTTTTGATCTGCAGTACCAGGGCTGGCCAGCGGATGCTCCCAGCAATCAGAGACTCAACTTTGCAGCCAGCTAACACCTGGAACTGATTATGCTGGGGTATTTAAGGGATTGGCCAGACCCACAGACTCTGCCTTGGTGTTGTGTTTGTCCTGGGCCCTGTATCCTGTTTTCTGTCCTGCATCCTGTTTCTGAACCGCTGCTGACTTCTCCTGCTCTGATCCCGGCTCGCTCCTGACCATCCCCTCTGCCTGACCCTCTGTACCACGCTGCTTGCTACCTGTTCTGATCCCTGGCTTGTGACCCTGACCATTCCTCTGTCTGACCCTCTGTACTACGCTGCTTGCTACCTGCTGAACCTGGCCTGTGACCCCGACCAATCTCCGCTTGCTCCCCCTGTACCTACCTGCCCTATTGATATTGACCCGGCCTGCCTGACGACGCTTGCATTGTAATGTACTGTTATCTGTGGGTGGTTGGTTTGGTTTTGTTTGCACTGTGTTATGTTTTAGTATTGCACTGCGTTTATGTTTGTATTGTTAGTGTTTAATAATAAATTATATTGTTTATAACATATCTGAGGTCTGCGTTTCCTGCGGCAGCCACACACCTCTGGTCACACCTGGGAGCCCTGACATTACACCAAGGCCAATCCTGACCAGAAGTGGCTGCACAGGGAAGCCATCTTGGCTTGTTGCTGGGAAGGATGGATCTGGATGAGGTTGTATATTTATATCTGCTAGTGTTTGATGACAGGGAGTATGCTTATCAAACTCTGAAGGAGTATCCCAGGGATCAACTACTAGAATGTATACTAGGCTCGCTCATGTTCTAGTAGATCAGGGCACAGAGTTCTCTGAGGTGCAGCCTTTGATTGAGTTTGTGCTGAGTTGGTTTCATCTGGTTCCCCCGAATGCAGGGATGAATTTTTTGCCACCATTTAGTGCAGACCAGGTAGAGTCCCTGGTGTGGTTATTAGAGGATGATGTTGGGTTACTTTTCTGGAGCGTTATTCCACATGTTCACCACAGACACTAAGAGATTGTATAAACGCAGTGCAGTCATTGACCAGACAGGCTTTGTGTAAGCTCAGCTTTGTTCAACCCGTACTGCAGACATGGACAGACTTGTTTGCACCCAGCCTCAGTCAGCTTACAAAAACCCAGTCCTGCTTCTAACTCTACTCCTGTATTCCCACCAGCTCCTCCAGTTACAGCCCAGTATACTTGGCTATCTACCGCATGTCAGTACCCTGTTCCCACTCGCTGCACCTATCCTGCCTTTAACCCTGTAAAAAAGCCCTCTGTAGCAACTGCTCCCTCTCCTGTTCCATCCTCCAGTTTTTCTCTGTCTCCAGCTGCTCCATTCGTTTGCAGACCTGCGTTTACTTGCAGTGTGCTCCAGTAGTTTAAAACCAGAAAAAAGCGAAAATTCTTTCCAACCAGTACCATCCTGCCAGTATCCAAACCGTTGAACCTGCCTTCCGTGACTCAGCCTGAAGCCTCTACTCAGCTGAAGCCTCTACTCAGCCTGAAGCCTCTACTCAGCCTGATGCCTCTACTCAGCCTGGATGCCTCTCTTTCAGCCGGATGCCTCTCTTCAGCCGGATGCCTCTCTTCAGCCGGATTGCCTCTCTTCAGCCGGATGCCTCTCTTCAGCCTGAAGCCTCTACTCAGCCTGAAGCCTCTACTCAGCCTGAAGCCTCTACTCAGCCTGAGCCTCTACTCAGCCTGATGCCTGCATTCAGCCCTGATGCCGCTACTCAGCATGATGAACTGATCCAGCCCGACGATCCTATTAGGCCAGTTGACTCGATGCCCGCTGTTGATCCAGATGATCCGGCTACCTGACCCAGTGCCCGCTGTTGGTCCAATTGACTCAGAGCCCGCTGTCATACCTGGTGACCCGGTGCCCACTGCCTTGCCAGATGACGGCGGTGCCCGCTGGCAAGCCAAATGACCTGATGCCTGGTGACCCAGTGCCCGCTGTCATACCTGGTGACACCGATGCCCCTGTCGAGCCAGACAATCCCCGATACCTGATGACCCGGTGCCCACTGTGTCGTGCCTGGTTTGACTCGGAGTCCACTGTCTTGCCAGACGACTCGGTGCCCGCTGTCTTCCGCCAGTCGACTCGGTGCCCGCAGTCCCTGCCAGAACGACTCGGTGCCCAGCAGTCTTGCCAGACGACTACGGTGCCCGCAGTCTTGCCAGACGACACGGTGCCGCAGTCCTTGCCAGATGACTCGTGCCCGCAGTCTTGCCAGACGACTCGTGCCCGCAGTCCCCGCCAGTTTGACTCGATGCTGCCGCTGTTCCACCAGACGACTCACGGTGCCTCGCAGTCTTGCCAGACGACTCGGTGCCCGCAGTTTTTTCTTGCCAGACGACTCGGTGCCCCCGCAGTCTTGCCAAGACGACTCGGTGCCCGCAGTCTTGCCAGTTGATCTCGATGCCCGCTGTTCCGCCAGTTGACACTCGATGTCCGCTGTTCCGGCCAGTTGACTCAGGGGGGTGCCTGCAGTCTTGCCAGACGACTCGGTGCCCGCAGTCTTGCCAGACGACTCTGGGTGCCCGCAGTCTTGCCAGTTTGACTCGATGCCCGCTGTTCCGCCAGTTGACACTCGATGCCCGCTGTTCCGCCAGTTGACTCGGTGCCCGCAGTTCTTGCCAGACGACTCGGTGCCCGCAGTCTTGCCAGACGGACTCGGTGCCCGCAGTCTTGCCAGACTGACTCGGTGCCCGCAGTCCCCCGCCAGTTGACTCGATGCCCGCTGTTCCACCAGACGACTCGGTGCCCGCAGTCTTGACAGACGACTCGGTGCCCGCAGTCTTGCCAACGACTCGGTGCCCGCAGCTTGCCATACGACTCGGTGCCCGCAGTCTTGCCAGTTGACTCGATGCCCGCTGTTCCCGCCAGTTTTGACTCGATGTCCGCTGTTCCGCCAGTTGACTCGGTGCCCGCATCTTGCCAGACGACTCGGTGCCCGTCAGTCCTGCCAGACGACTCGGTGCCGCGCAGTCTTGCCAGTTGACTCGATGCCCGCTGTTCCGCCAGTTGACTCGATGCCCGCTGTTCCGCCAGTTGACTCGTGCCCGCAGTCTTGCCAGGACGACTCGGTGCCCGCAGTCTTGCCAGACGACTCGGTGCCCGCAGTGCTTGCCAGATGACTCGTGCCCGCAGTCTTGCCAGACGACTCGGTGCCCGCAGTCTTGCCAGACGACTCGGTGCCCGCAGTCTTGCCAGACGACTCGGTGTCCAGCAGTCTTGCCAGTTGACTCGATGCCCGCTGTTCCGCCAGTTGACTCGATGCCCGCTGTTCCGCCAGTTGACTCGATGCCCGCTGTTTTCCGCCAGTTGACCCTCGGTGCCCGCGCAGTACTTGCCGAGACGACTCTCGGTGGCCGCAATCTTGCCAGACGACTCGGTGCCCGCAGTCTTGCCAAGACGACTCGTTGCCCGCTCTGTTCCGCCATTTGACCTCGTGCCCGCAGTCTTGCCAGACGACCACGGTGCCCGCAGTCTTGCCAGACGACTCGGTGCCCGCAGTCTTGCCAGAAACGACTCGGTGCCCGCAGTCTTTGCCAGATCGACTCGTAGCCCGCATCTTGCCAGACGACTCGGTGCCCGCAGTCTTGCCAGACGACTCGGTGCCGCCCGCATAGTCTTGCCAGACGACTCTGTGCCCGCAGTCTTCCACAGACGACTCGTTGGCCCACAGTGTCCCGCGCCAGACGACTCGGTGCCCTGTCAGTCCCGCCAGTTCGACACTCGGTGCCCGTGCAGTCTTGCTGCTTAAGCATCCAAAAGTAAAATCTCTCTACACTGTCTCGACAAAGTCAGAGCCAACAGAGTATACAAAGAGAAATCTCCCTCTATGCTTTTACATCCATTCAATGAGAGAGGCGGGCGTTTCCTGGACATTTCAGCATGCAAGCCTTTGTAGCTAAGTTATGTAAGGCCGCCACCTGTTCATACTTTTTTAAAGTTTTACTAAGTGGATGCCCAATCGTTCTGCTGATGCAGCTTCAGCTGCAAGGTTGTCAAAGCAGCTCTCTGTTGGTCTCTTCTGGATCCTTGTTGTTGGGCTGTTGACAAAAGTTCTGTTTGCCTCATTGGTGCCCACCCTTTTTTTTGTTATTCATTACTTAAGGAAATCCCATGTGGTGAATATCGATACTCTACCTGTGTCCTGTACTCTACAATTTAATTAAGATAAGAGGAATTAACCTGTAAATTTCGGAATAGCTTGGAGTACAGTACAGGACACAGGGGCCATCGGCCACCCTCCCTTCCATTCCTTGGTTTAACTCTGGCATTGCTTGCTACAAAACGGAGGACTCAGGGAGTGGGGTAAGGCCATAGGGGAGGTGACGGGGGGGGGGCAATCGTTCTTGTTAGTGTGGTTCAATCTCACCTGAAGGAACACGCCTACACCCCATGGATGTATGAATACTCAACTATGTCTTGTACTGCGGTACTCGCCAAATATGGAATTTTTATGTAAGCCAAAAATCCTTTTTTTTTTTTTTTTTTTTTTTTTTTGGTAACTAAACTTTTTTCTTTTGAAAAGCTTTAGGGCACTGTAGGCATTATGCATGCATTTTATGCATTTATAGTTTTAGACATGCTTATATTACTAATAGAAGACCTTCCAATGATACATGACAGGGGTCTGTTCAAAATAATTGGGGGGTCGCTGTTAACACTTGTCTCTTTCAGCTATGGGTTGTAGTTAATGTCCTCAAACACTGTATAACAAATACCTTTCAAATAACTATTTATATGCTTTCACCTTTCAGACTTTCCTGCAGAACTGAATTACCCTCGTTTGATCTATGAAAGACTGTGGCCATGATTGGAAAGCTTGTGTGGGCAGCAATTAACAGTACTATTCGCAGCCTACGCCACGATCAGAAAAAAAGCAACATTTCATACTCGGAAAAATTACCTCCCTGGGCAGCTGAAAACCCTAGGCACCAGTTACGGTGAAAGCCATTTTTGCCACCACTTTATCATTTTGTGACTTTCTAGGGAATATTACTTGTCTGTGCCAGGATGTGCCTTTGCACTACTGAAAAAACGGTTTCTACTGAAGCAATTTCTTTGACTACTCTGAAGTACAGTCCAGTACAGAACTGCTAAACCATACTTTGACATGTATCATTGGTCTCAAAAAGCCTTGCAATGGTTATCAGCTCAGCCCCATTAAATGTATATTCATATCCCCACCCCCCCCCCCCATACTTTTATTTTATGTAATAGTTGCTTGTTGTCATTTGTCAGGGCTTGCCAGAAGTTTGTTTTCTTATATTTTTGCTGTAAGTTCATATTCACATTTGTTTCAGATTTCTAGAGAAAATGGTACCTAACGTAACATAGATAACTGTGTGGGAAAGGTTTGTTTTTATTTCTGCTATTTTTTTTGTTGAAGCCTCTACATCTTGCATAGATGTCCTTTTTTGTTTTACATTTGCAAACAAGCCACAAGCGTATGTATAAGATTATTTGT